GAGAGTCGTTCGCCCCTTTACAGAGGGAGAAGAGGGGTGAAAGTCGCACGCCCCTTTGCAGGGAGTGAGGGGGGTGAGAGTCGAAGGTAAGAGTCGTGCACCGCTTTGCAGGGGAGAGGGGGGTGAGAGTCGAAGGTGAGAGTCGCACGCCCCTTTGCAGGAGTGAGAGGGGGGAGAGTCGTGCGCCCCTTTGTAGGAGGGAAGGGTGGGAAGTCATATTCCCTTGATCAGTTCACTCGATATTTCTCTCGCTGCCCAGAGTTGTCTGACTTTTCATGTAAAGCAGTGAAATAATTACTAACTTTAACTGTTAGTAACTTTTTAACGAATGACGACCGACGGCTAAAACATGGTGGAGGTTACTCAGGGTCACGACCTTGACAACATATGTCAAGGTCAAGGTCATCGGAGGTGGTTCCCCTTTTCTGAATATTTACCCATTTTAATTATAAGTTTTAAAAATATATTTTCTTAAATAACTTAAGAGGATGCTGGAGTATCGACGGAACTCTTATTTCGTATTTCTCAAACCATTTCGTTTTCCTTATACAGAATAAAACATCCTTTTCCAGAATAAAATAAAAAACGCAAATACCTTTGGAAAAGTACAAACCGGTATGAAAATCTTCCAAAAATTGTAAATTACAATTTTCTGTTACCATGTATTAGCCATTCTGTTACCATGTGTTACCATGAATAGATTCGCTTCCTTCATATATATACAGGATGTTTCATTTTAAGTGATACCTAGATAACAAAATGTTCCTTGGCATAAGAAAAGAAATAGGTACATAACATAAGTTTCTCTTCAATTGCCATCATGTTGCTGTCACTAGGACAATAATAATTTCGTTTAGGGCAACCTACAAAAGCATTATGCGGATAACGGTTGTTTTCGCAAACGAGCGGAAATGCTGTAACAAACTTATTACCATAAATGTTGCTACAATCTGTTGGAAATCGTTTTCGTAAAATATTGAGTCTATATTTCTGTCAATCGAATGGAAATGGAGCGTTGTCGAGCAGTATGTGGTACCGCCACCAGAGAGATGCATCGAGTTAAATTTCCCGATTTTGAAAAACGACGTAGAATAGAATAAAAGATGCAGCATTAAAAGATTTTTCGGCTGTGTTCTAATGAAATAATTTTTTGAAGTGAGCGCCGCGGGCTCTAAGATGAAAACATATTACTTTTTTTGAAATGTTTACCGAATAATCTCCTGATACTTTAAAATCACGCTTGTTACGTTTACCAAGAATTCCGATCATATTTCGTTCATATTCGGAAAGCTCAACAACGCTCGTTCAGTTAAAAATGTCAGATTACTGGCAACTTACGGGAGTAAGATTTTAGGCGGAAATTATTTCCGTCATGTTGCTCTGTGATTTATAACAACTTATTATACGATCGGTTTATAAGAGGGCAACTGTTGACATTAAGTTGCTCGTAAGAGTTAGTGGCAATAAAAGTCGGCAATCTAATAGACAAAGTCGGAAACCGCTTTCTTAAATATTGAAAGCGACTTAAGCAAAGCAATTTCAGGCAAATTGACAGCAACCTGCGGGCAACTTGCTATCTGGGTATCGTCGATTATCTCGCGAATCGATGATTTTATTGAAAAATTTTTCAAACGAAAGTTGCATGGTTTGAAGGGGGACACATGATGGAAATGTGGGAACTTGACCTTGAGTGACCTTGTCAAAATCAGGTCAAAATCATTAATGTTTTTAAATGGAAACCCCTATTTTTTATTACATATTCTTATAGCTTATCTCGAGAGCTTTCCAAAACACTATAATAAAGTTACTTTTCGTTAAGTACTTTCCGAGTTATGGAGCTTGAAAGTTACAGTACCATGGCGTTATCCATGTACGCATGCGGGTGTGAGCGGGATTCTTACGCGCGCGCGTCTCCGCGATCTATCCACACTGCTTGACATACGCTCACGCGCACGGAATTGAGTTTAATCCTTCCCAATTGAACGATTCAACTTTCCGGTCTTGCCTTAATCGGCCGGATCAGTGATCGGTCTTGCCTTATAACTTAACAAGTACTTAACGAAAAGTAACTTTATTATAGTGTTTTGGAAAGCTCTCGAGATAAGCTACAAGAATATGTAATAAAAAATAGGGGTTTCCATTTAAAAAAACATTAATGATCTTGACCTGATTTTGACAAGGTCACTCAAGGTCAAGTCCACATTTCCATCATATATCCTCCTTCAAGCCATGTAACTTTCGTTCGAAAAATTTTTCATTAAAATTATCGATTCGCGAGATAATCGACCATATCACTTAAAATGAAACACCCTGTATATATAAATGCAAGGATATATCCAAATAAAAAGTACTTTTCCGTATTTGAATAATTTATAAGATCATGAGACCTTCAAATTATGATTTTGAAGTTTACAAGAGAAATGGCTTGAGAAGTACGATTTGAGTGTACATAACCTTGCATTTATGTGATATATATATATATATATATAGGATATAGCAGAGCAAGAAATGTACGTAACATTTTCTTGATGTACATAATATTTTATTTGGAATTAAAAATCTGTTTTATCGACATCGATCAAGTTCGGCCGTCGCTCCAGCATCCCCTTAATGGCTCGTAATGTGTAAAAAATCATAATTTTTAATAATTAAACAATGCAAATATATAATGATATTGGGCTATTCGAGCTAAGTTAGATAGAGTAGAGCGGGGGCTTTTACGTCCATTTCTCGCGATGTTGCTGTTTCTGAACAGAACATGTTGATTATTTAAAGGTTGTGCTTATGTCCTCAAGAAGCAATCATGATTGTATAATGTAATTATAAACACGTCACTGCAAAGAAGTATTGTTTACTATCGTAAATTTTCGTATTATTTTAAAGTTGAAACTGACGGAATAGCCCTGCGCTATCCTATTGTTCGCTAATAAACAATAATGTCAAACAATAAATACTTTCAAACGATTTTTAATGTGATCATCTTCGGCGAAAAAACATTTAATGCATATCATAATGAGAGTAATAAATTTCGAGCATCGCTTTATATAACTGTTAAGCTAATTTTTCTCTACGTATCCGTGTTCCACATAAACGCAGCTGTATAAAACTAATTTGTATGAGACCTTATTGAGATGTATAATACAAACGCGTCTATTTTTCTTGTGATTTATTTTCATGTCTGTCAATTTTGAGAAATTTTATGGCGTACAAGATCGACGCTACATTACGGGAACCGTTGAGTTTTCCAAAAATGCGATTATCAGATCTCATAAGGGCTGAATCAATCAAGTTCTATTTATCCAGATAGCAACGTGTCTATCTTGTTGCTGGCATATTGCTTGCTAAGTATGCATTGCTAAGCATGTGTTGCTACCAGAATTGCAGCAACTGAGTCCTCATTTGTTGGCAACTTGATGCCTTCATGATATAACTTTGAGTAGCAATTTGCCAGCAGTTTGCCGACAACTTTAAAATCGTCATCATCAAAATTCGCACTACTGCCATCATGTTGCCATAATACTATGCAGCATCATGCAATGCTTTCATATTGTCGACAACATAAGATAACATTGATGCAGCTATCTTGCTGTTAAACTGCTGGCAATACATATACACATTGTTGCCTGCATGTTGCTACAATGTCGGTATATTCAAAATCGTTGAAGACAAATCTATGGCAAGTTGCTAACATCATAAGCAATCACAGATTTGTGTGATTTTACTGAGACACGCTTTGCTATCTGGGTATGCTCAATCGATAACTCCCACTCGAATTGTATTACAAAAATGCTTTTATTTTTTTTCTACGTGCCCTACGAACGAAGATATTGCAACGCAAAGTCCAAACCTTTAAAATTTTACTTTAAGAAACGTTATCATTGTCATCATCATTACTATTAACATTATTATCAACTGTCCGAGCCGAGAATCACGTTTCGAACTTTTGCCGATAGATGGCAATCCTAACTTTTTTTACTTTACTTGTTAATGACATTTTAGCGAACAACGAGCGATGGTTAAAATCTTGCAAAGGTCACTCAGGGTCATGATGTCAACAGTATATGTCAAGATCATTGGAAATGAATATCCTACTACATATTTAATAATTTCGTACATTTTATACAATGACTGCTAAAACTTTGCGAAAGTCATAAAATAAAAAATGACAAAATGAAAAATTGTGATTAGTAGTAAAAAATATGTATTTTTCATTTACAAAAAATTCGATCCTTCTGGCTTATATTTCTTTTTCAGAAAAAAAAATCATGAAATAGGCATACTTTTTGAAGCCGAAAAACTCCTATGCTCCCTTAATAAGGCAAAAAAGAAATGCAAATGAACATTCTAAAGTTACCTAACAGTTATATATGTGTGCATATATACTATAAAATTAATCTTACCCCATTTTTATCACAAAGTTTGATTGTATTGAAAGATCCAACAGCAAAATACTCGCCAGAAGAATGACACCAGCTAATAGCTGTTACAGGGTGATCACCAATATTACTGCAATATAGTTGATGACCAGTAGCGTCCCATACCTGTGTTAAAAACGTATTTATTTTTTAATTATAAAATAACTTTTTAAAAAAGTAAAAATATCTCCTCAAGTATACAAATCTTTCATTGCAGCCAATTATTTGCAAAAGTCTATATATATATGTACATATATACATAGTACATGATAAGGTTATTTTAATGGTAACGCGAACACCTAGCTTCAGCTCATGTGCCTCTCTTTTTATGCCAATTTAATGTAATTCTAATTGAACTTTCTATTGCTATTAATTTTATAAAAATATTTACTCACCTTATATTTACAGTCCTCGCCACCAGAAACTATAAGTCCATTTGTTGAATTCCAGCAAGCAACTAATATGAGATTATTATGTGCGTGCCACTGAAATTAAATTATATTATTCGTTAGAAATAAACTATTTTCTTCAAAATACCATAAGAAAAATATTTATAATTTAAAAAATTATTTATATTATTTTTTAATTAATTCGTCAAAAAATGCTATAATATCAATACACTTGAGAGGGGGAAGGGGGAGAGGGGATGAGGAGGGGGAGGGAGAATGTATGCCTTAAATACAGGCTGGCTTCCAAAATTCACTGTCAATGCTGAAAATGTATAGTTATAGTACATGTAACGTAGACTGTAGATTTTCAGTGTTGACAGTGAATTTTGGAAAACAGCCACAGTATATGTGAAGTGAAATAACAAATGTTCAATATACCTTATACGGTTTTGAATTTGAATTAAATGACTGAAGAAACAAATTTCCACCTTGAGAATACAGTATCGTTGAACAATCAGGACTCCAGCTTGATGTTAATATAGGAAGGCTTGCTTTTACCAACGTTGATCGAAGCATACCACTGCGAGACCAAACCTTAATTAATCCGTCTTCACCAGCTATAACCAAAATTATATTTTTTAAAACTAGAAATTTTAAATAGGGATCCGACAATTAACCGATATCCGGCCTATTTGACCGCTTTTTTTACAATTCAACCATCCGGCAGAATAGTTTGAATATCCAGCCAGTTGTAAAAAAGTTGTGTTCCACAATTTGGATGAATAACTTTAGACTGCATTTCGTTATTCGAATTACGAGTAAGTACTGAAAATTTGAAGTATACGTAATATGAACTACACATTTTTAATAAATAACAGAACAATCTTAATAGGTGTTAACTAATCACTCACGTGATTTTCTTTACAATTGGTTAGAATATTTCTTTTTTCTCTATAACAAATAATCCTAGCTTTGTGTTACTCGCCGATTTTATTGAAACTCAGTAGATTTGTAGAGTAGTCAAAAATAGACACGTGTTTTTTTATATCGACAAAGATGCAATTTTAAAACGACCTATTGTATTTATAAATCATATAATCAGTATAATTAATTCGTTGCATTTAAACTTCGGTATTAGAGCTATTTTTGAGTCTTAAAGATATAGAGTACATATGACAAAAGGTTTTCGCATTGCTGAAAGAAAATTCAATGTCGGAATTATAGAAATCAAAATGGCGGATGCAACCTGATAAATTCAAAGTCTTATCTTGGTTTTTGCCGAACCCGGGAATAACCCACCAGGAGATAGTGAGAGTCTATCCCTATTTTTTGTATTTTTTATTTTTTAAATAAATTTTTTTACATTTTTTTTAACTACAATATTTCTCACGCCTTAACTGTAAATTGATCAGTACTGCACTACAGTATCAGACTCTCCATTATATTTTGGTTAATCGAAAATCATTATATCTCCTAAGAACTAAATTAAAAATATTTTGTTGAATATTTTTTTAAATCACTTCTTAATTTTACTAACTATTAACTCGTAAGACGTTCAACTTTAGATAAATTTAATACAGATATTGTTGATTCTTAATAGAATTTATAGAATATGACTTATTCATTAAATTTATTTTGAATAATTAACTTTATTAAAAATCAATAATAAAATATTAAAAAACCTTTTAATAGATATTGGTTATTAGATTTTTATAGCATATTTATGGTTTATATAAAAAATTCTCTTTTTTACTATACAACAAAGAACAATTAGGTTTACAATTTTTCAATATTTTTATGCAATTGCTGGATAAAAGTCCGATTATCCAGTCATCTGGTAGCAAATAATGAATCATCCAGTATCCGCTTATCCGACAAATTATTATCTGTATCTTTAGTTTTAAACAACAGATTAATGATGTACCTGTCAATAATGCAGAACCATCAGTACTCCATCTTCCTATTGTAGTGGCACCTTTATGAGCATCAATACTTTTTTCGATGCGACCATTTTTATTAATCAAATGGTATTTTCCTAGAAAATATTATAAAAATGTAACTTTTTAAAAAGAAAGTGAGTAGCAATATGACTTGTGTTAATGCATACCGTAGTATGTCCAATGACATACTGTGGTAATATTTAATATTCGAATAAATAAATAAATAATAAATATACACTTTTAACCCTGTATCGCGTAGTACCTCTAAAAATACGAGGTACTAATTTTACGATAAAAATAATATTTCGAGTTACACACTAATAGGTAATATAAAAATAGGTAAAAGTTCCGATTAGGGGACCCCCCCCATGACCTAGACATATATTGTCAAAGTCATGACCCTGAGTAATCTCCAATTTAGCCGTCGCTCGTCCTTCGTTAAAAAGTTATTAACAAAAAAAAGTTTTACTATATATCGCAAAAATTCTGTACTTTAAAATACACACACATATGCATACACACACACACACACACGGGGGGGACTTCTACCGGCATCGTAATAGTGACCTTTCCATTGCTTAAATGTAAGCAAAATAAACCGAGGAATAAATAGACTTGTACGTGTGAATGTTTGACAAGCGTGTAAGTTGTGCGCCCCTTTGCAGGGGGAGGGGGGGTGAGAGTCGAAGGGGAGATTCGCGCGCCCCTCTGTAGGGGGTTAGGAGAGGATGAGAGTTGAGCACTCCTTGGCAGGGGGTGAGGGGGGGTGAGAGTCGAAGGTGAGATTCGCGCGCCCCTCTGTAGGGGGTTAGGAGAGGATGAGAGTTGAGCACTCCTTGGCAGGGGGTGAGGGGGGATAAGAGTCGAAGGTGAGAGTCGGGCGCCCCTTTGCAGGGGGGAGGGAAGGTGAGAGTCGAAGGTCAGTTATCTAAGCTATGTAAAGCAGTTAAAGAATTACTAACTTTAACTGTTAATATCTTTTTAACGAAGGACGAGCGACGGCTAAAACCTATTGGAGGTTACTCAGGGTCATGACCTTGACAATATATGTCAAGATCAAGGTCATTGGGGGGGAGGTTCCCTAATCGGAACTTTTATCTAAAAAATATATAACATATTTTATAATATAAGATCAATGGATCAGATATGTCACAGTTATACGAGGTCTATCCCAAAAGTATCCGATCTCTATATGTACATCTTTGTCTTTAGGTATTCTTTCTCTCTATTATAGAAAATAGGCTGCATACCATTGTCGACTGAACAGCGTTAGATCATGCCGCTTAGTGGGATACTCCCTTAGAACATATATGTTCTGAGGATACTCCTCAATGTCTCCCGTAAATACTGAATGCTTGTTTTCCACGAGAGAGAGAGAGAGAGAGAGAGAGAGAGAGAGAGAGAGAGAGAGAGAGAGAAGGGGAGAGAGAGGGGGGGTGGATGTTCAAGGATAAAGATATACGCAGAGGTCAGATACTTTTGGAAAAGACCTCATACATTTATCAACATTCAGTATTCGTGGATCATTGAAGTAACTGCTTCTGATGGCAGAGGTTAACTAATGTTGGATGGGATACAAGCTTTGAATGGGTGACTGCTTGAGAACACCATGAAAATAAGTCCCGATTTCAAGAAGAAATTTTTTTATCGTAATTTTATTGTGTATTCTGAAATGTGATACTAATTAATAATACTTACTTTAGCAATAAAATACTGAATTAATATATGAAAAAAAACTTTGTATCGAGAAATCAATAAAATGTACATTATATACACATTGAATCAATGTTGAATCAATGTTTAAATGCAATGTCTGTAAGACATACATTTAACGGGCATTGAACGTTTCTGCAATGTATTTTCAACGTTGAATTTACATTTTGCGATGTTAATGCCTACATTCGCAATGTTGCAATTCAATGTTGCTGAGATGTTGATTCAACATTAGTGTGCTGTTGTATAGATAATTATATCTTTATTAAGTATGAAAATATTTTTGAATGACATACCATCGGCTGTAGTAATTAATAATACATCTAAAGATTTTTTAACAGAAGCGGTATGATTAGGACGTGGATGCCATTGCATATCGGTAGGATAAAAATCACTAGAAAATTCTGTTACAATGGTGGAATGTGCAATTCCGCCTTCTAAATGCCAGCATATTAATAAATGATCTTCCCTAGAAAATAAATATAATATATTAATTTATCTTTTATTCATGCGAGTAAAATTTTACGAAAAAATAAAAGCCAAAGAATTTATTTTATATGAACAATATATAGAATAATTATCAACTTTATTAATAGCAGTAAAGAGAAGCAATTGATTTTGTCAATTTAACACGTTATCTTAAGTTAATAATTCTACTTACCCACAAGAATAAATTTCTTCTGTTGAACTCCATGCAACACAAGTGATTAATCTTTTATGTCCATTATCTTCTTGTACAGATATTTTGAATCTCATATTAAATTTTTTGTTGACACTTTTACTAGATTATTTGTATACCTTTACGATATTTAATAGAAGCAAAAAAGTGCAATACTTAATTTTCGTAAAATACGTAATAAAGCAATAATACAAATTTAAATTAATTTAACTTTAAAATCCAAGTAAAAACAAATAATATTAATAAGTAATTTTATAACACTAGTAATTGAGTAACGTTTGTTGCAACAAGAATCACGTGTTATATTATAATGAGTATAGATAGATTTTGTTTACGCCTTAATTTCCATGGTAACCACGAAAGTAACGGGCTAATGGGTGCGTTCATCAGAACGCAACTGTTGCGCAATGGTTTAGGGTGCGGTCACATGGGCTGCGCTTAGGGTTATGTTCAGATTCCCACCCGAGTGTCACCCAGGAATCACTCCATCTTTGTTACTTACCAAACGTTAAAAAAGGATGACATGACACCCGGAGAATACCCAGATGGGAATCCGAACACGCTTCAGTAGAGAAAGCAGCTTTGCAACTATTGTAAAATTGTTCAATACGATTAGTTCTTGCTTTTGGTTCCTTATAGATCTAAATCTATAAACCAATCATATTGAAGAATTTTACGGACTTGGTTAGGTGGCGTGCATGAGAGAGCGTGTGTGGTGCGATAGCGTACGATACTTTACTAGTGAATAATAAATTAAGAGCATTTAGGGGAAAGGAAAGGTACGATATTAAAGAGTTACCGGAGAATACATAAGGTACGTGAAGGCGAGGCGATCCGAAAGGTATAGAACAAGATATTAGGAGAATTCGAGGTAAGCAAGATAAGGAGGTTAGGATGCCGAAGGACGCGGCGGAAAAGACGGGAAAAGGTAGGCTTGACCCTAGGCAAAAGAAACTCGTAACAGAGGCTAAGGATGTGGGGAAAAAGATATCCTTTCAGATACGAAAAAAGGAGAGGGCGAGGTATTATGGGAAGAGGAAAAGGAAATGTATGAGCAATATCAGGAGTTTAAGGCAATGGGTGCATTCAGTATTACAGCCGCTCACTGAGCGCTCAGTGAGCGCTTGCATCTTATTGGTATATTCCGTTAGAACTAAAAATATAGACCAAACAGATACAAGAGTTCACTGAGCGCTCAGTGAGCGGTCGTGGTACTGAATGCACCCATCGATGGAAAGTTTCAGAGTAAACGAGAAGCTGTGGGAGGATAAAATTAGGAATATTGAGGAAAAGGCCTTGGAAAGAGAAAACTTTAGGGATAAAATAGAGGAAATGGAAAGAGATTGTAAGAATAAGGTAGAAACTATAGAAAAAGTACATCAAGATAAAATAGAGGAAATGGAAAGGAAGCTAAGATTAGATGAAAATTTAGGAGAAAAAAGAGGGGGGAGGGGAAGGGGGAGTACATACAGCGAGAATAGGAAGCAGGAGGGATAGTAGTAGAGGAAGAACTAGGTCCGTGAGCAGCGTAGGGGATCTAAGCATAAGGGTGAAATCACACGGTGCGGAAAAAGACTGCGGAATAGAGAATGCGTCATTGCAGCAACCAATCAGCGCTATTCGGAATAGCGCTGATTGGTTGCTTCAATGACGCATTCTCTATTCCGCAGTCTTTTTCCGCATCGTGTGATTTCACCATTAGGGCCGTCACATGCGACGTAACCTGCGTAAAGCCCATGGCACATACAAAAACGTAAGGCCGTAAGATGTAATTAGTAAGCGAATTGGCCAATCATGGTAGAGACCGTAAGACCAGTAGCGAATCCAATCTTACGATTTCTTTACTGCTTACATATTACGGCCTTACGTTTTTGTATGTGCCATGGGCTTTAAGCGTAACCTGCGTAAGCGTAACCTGCGTATTCTAGTAATTTACTAGAATGTACTAGCAGGTACTAATACGGCAAGTTAGTATGAACAAAAGCATTGAAATCCTATGGTTGAACTTTACCGGCACCGGCATAAGTTAACGGTTACGGCCATTATAAATCAGACTTTCTTCTTCTAAATTTGTACAAACGCGTATTGTATGTACGCGATAGAAAGTACCGGTTCCCCATGAGGCGTATTTTTCGAGTTACGTAGGTTACGAAACCAATCGTAAATTCGTTTAGCATTATAGTAATCAAGAAGAGACTAGAACCAGGAGGGTCAACTCGGTGCCAATAGCATTAGGCC